AGAGATTTCAATGCAAATTACTTTGTGCTTGTGTATTAGCTATTGTATTTTTCTGCCACAATAATAAAGTATTGCCTTTATTCTGATTTCTTTCTTATAATTTTTTAAATTCCTGCTTGCAGTTCAGAGTTCCTCAGAGCATGATTAGATCATTAGTATTTCTTGCCAACTTCTAGTTTCAGCTGGCATGGAAAAAGGCAATCAGAAGTCCGTGCCAACTCTTGCATTAGTTGTGCTGTAAGAGCCATTCAGAAGACAGCAAACTATTCAGAAAAGTCCCAAAGTCATGCAATGTGAAAAGATAAAATGTTGGGCCTCCAGGTATTATATTGAATTGAAGACAAATTCTCCCATTCACTGCTTTCAGTGAACATAAATTGGTTGTATTATGTCAAACTAAATGTTCATTTGGCAAAATACCTCTCTCTGGGGTAATTGGTAGAAGACACTCAGGCAGGGGTACAGGACAATAAGGAAGTATTGTGATATATCTTCAGCTGGGGCTCCAGGAGTTCTAGATAGCAATGATTGGAGTTTCCCACTAAGCTGTTGCTTTGCTCATTAAAGTGATCCAAAATTTTACTGTTAGCAGCTGTGCTTGAGCCATGTAATTATTTCCTTTTCTGTTTCCAGATCTTGAGTGCATCCTTGTAAGTGTCATAGTCCTTTATGTTAGAAGAGGTGGTACCATTCCTATAAATTTTTCTTATGGTGCTCACTGACTCCATTGATCTCAGGGTTGGCCCTCTTTGGATTTCTCTCTTTTGCCCTAGTTACCTGCTTATTTAATGATCCAGATGTGTAATCATGGGGTGTACCTTTGTGCCAAGGTTCGGTGTACCTTGGTTAGTACCTTTGTACTCACATGACGGTTGATGACAAACTCAACATGACCTGGCCATGAGCACTTCCAGCCCAGAAAGCCGGCGGGATCTTAGGCTGCATCCAAAGTGACGTGGGCAGCAGGAGAGGGAGGGGATTCTGCCCCTCTGCTCTGCTTTGATGACACCTCACCTGGAGTGCCAGTTCTGAGCCCCCAACATGGGAAGGACATGGGACTGTTGGAGCAAGTGCAGAGGAGGACACAGAGTTGATAAGAGGTACAAAGGCTGAGAAAGTTGGGGCTGCTCACTCTATGGAAGAGAAAGTTGCGTGGAGACCTCGTAGCAGCCTTCTGCCATCTGGAAGCCTACAGCGAAGCCAGAGAGCAACTCTTCAGGGGTTGTACTAATAGAGCAAGGAGTAATGGGTACAAACTGAAAGAGGAAAAACTTAGGCTACAGGTTAGGAAGAAATTCTTTCCTGTGAGGGTTGTGAGATATTGGAGCAGGTTGTTCAAAGGAGGTTGTGGATATCCCAACTCTGACACCGTTAAAGGCAGGGTTGGATAATACTTTGAGCAACCTGGTCTAGTGGAAGGTATCTCTGCCCATGGCAGAGGTGTTGGAACTAGATGATATTTAAGGTCCCTACCAACCTTTGACATTCTATAATTCTGTGTTATCAGTTTCAGATGGCACGATACTGACAAAGTGCCTGGCCACAGTCTTCAAGATGCTGTGCTATGGACACAACCATGTAATGAAGCTTCTGATTCACTCTAGACTTGTCCTCATGCTATTTGCTTTTCCTTTCATCATTGCTGAACCTCTGTGTGATACCTACACAGAACTGCATACTGTGTAGACTGGGTTTTCTTCCCAGAGTCCTAACAGTTTGCACAGTCTGACATTCTTCAGGTAGAGTTAGGATTCTGTTCTTCATATGTACTTTGCATTTATCTACGCAGAATTTAATCTGGCATTTTATTACCTTGCCATTCAATATCATGAAAACTTTTGCAAGAAGGTTTACTCTTACCATGCTGAATAATTTTAATTTATAGTCAATAAATCTTGCCACTTCTAAACCCACCTCCTTTGCCAGATAATTTATGGCTGCAGTTTTTAATTCAGATGCACACACAAATCTATTTTCCAGGAAATTTAATCATCCTTCCTTTTGCCTTCTGGGCTTCACCATCTTGCTTAGAAATTTCAAAGCAAAATAAGAATCAAATTGAATTGCTTTCATTAAGATGTTAGTAAATTGAATTGTAAAACGACATTTTTTCTTGCAACATTAAGAACAAATTTCTGCACCAAGATTAAAACAGGGTATCTTCAGGAAGTGTGTTGATGCTTTCAGTTTTATGTTTGTTCTGTTTTCTCCAAATCAGGAGCTATTAAAAGTTATCAGTAACACAACTGAAAGTGGATTACTAGTTTTTCCACATATGTGATAATACTGCATTACTGAGTTGATTTAATTGTTTTGAATTGGTACTTTTAATCTGTTGTTGATTATCAAAAGCGAAATAATTATTATAATGGAGTATATCTTCTCTCCGTGGTTTCAGTGGAGCATATCAAATAAACCCAGGCATCTGAAATTGGAATGTGCGAAAAATGCAGTATTTATGTCAACAGAATATTACTGTTAAATAAGTGCTGCTAATTAGTCTTCTGTAAAGCTGATTTTGTAATAAGTCAAGGGTAACAGAAGAATTTGCTCAGTTGGAGGACAGCATTTAGCTTTGCAGCAATATGTCATTTGTTGGAAATCTTTTGAATAAAATGTATTTTACTACTTTACATAAAACTTTCATATGCTTAACTATGAAAAATCATGTACTTTAAATGTAATGTGTAAAGGTGTTAAGGGTTGTAAATGGGTAAATTAATGGTTGTTTAATTTATACTCAAATAGCATTCTTCATTAGACAACTTAGAAAAGAAAGTCATGTAAACCACCTCCCCTTCTTTCTTTTGTTTTCAACGTTGCACATTTTCTTTGTTTTCCTTTAAGGGCATTTTACTATGCAATTCTAGATGTAAAAATCATGCCTTCAGCTTTTTGCAGAAAAAGTGGACAATGCAAAAGCATAGTCACCTTGCAGAGTTCACACCATTCCATTTTAAGTAAAACAGACCAGGAAGGGAGAGCTGGAAATTTAGCCAGATCAGCTGTTCTTTTTTCATTATTCAAAATGTAAATTGTACAGCAAGAAAAGAAAATAGTTTTTCAAAAGAGCAAATGCCATCACCCGACACTTTCCTAAACACTGTTTTCCCTCTCAATCTCTAATCCACCTGTCCTGCCAGCAACCATCTCTAATCCTCAAGAAAGCCATATTTCAGTTTTTTCACCACTGCTAATTAAAACACTAACAGGCATGATGATGTTGATTCCTGTGTGATTACAAGGAAATCAGGCAAACTCTCATGTCCCTGGTTCATCTTATCTCATGTAGCAAACAAAACACCCACACTTCAAGACAGAACAAATGTTCTCAGAGAGCTTTAGGTAGGTTCTGTGAATAAGGGGTCTATGAGTCATGTTGTGACTTTGTATGTTTCTTTCACATTAATTTTCACTTTAATATAACAGAGGTACCTGTTTTATTAGAGGCAAATTTAACATAGCTTGAGGTATTTCTCAGAACGTATCTGTTGCTTTTCTATATGTTATATGACTAACCTCAAAAATTTTAATCTGAGTAATAGTAGCAGCCATGTTTGCTCAAGCCAGAGGCATTTGGGGTCTGAATGAGATGGGAGAGGCACTCCAGGAGTTCTGTATTAAAGTTCTGTTTTTATAACTGTGACAATGTTTATGTCTTGTACGTACTAATGACTTTTCATAGCTTTCATGATTCTTACCTTTGTTAGGAGCTATTTTACATTTATTGCCCTATTCTTAATATTACTTCCAGTATCAAAGATTCTGTTCTTCAAAGAATTGAAGTAAAATGAGCTAAATGTTTTGAGTCGGATATACTGTGCAGGCAGGACTTACCTCTCCTGATTTCTTCAGTGTATAAAAGACAAACTTCAATACCCATCTCAGAATTTGATTATAGCTCAAGTTTAAAGCACATTATTGAACAACATTTTCTATCTAATTAGCATATTTTCCTGAGGTATTAATTATAGACCAATCTGTTTGCAGATTAAAAAAATCCCAGCCTTTTCTCCTTTATCTGCTAGTCATGGGAAATAATTCTAGAGTTATTAGGTGTTAGTGAAGAGCAGCAGGTTTTAGGTGTATTTGTGATATCAGTAGTTTACTACTCCATATTATTTTCCATTTAAGAATAAATACTCATCACATTAATAATGAACTAAATTGTCTTCTAGGGAGGAAACTGAGTCAAAGAGAGTTTTATGATTTGCTTATAGTTTATTTGTCAGCACAGAAAGTATAAAGGCCAGATATTTTGGATCCTATACCTGTCAGCCACAAAATGTATCTCTTCACTATATCACAATTACTAATTTGACAGAAGTAGAATGTCTTTTCTTGCTACAGAAATAAACTGGAAATCACTATCACAATCAATTGTTTAATTGACATACCCTATTATATGTGGGCCTTACGAAATGTGTATTCAAATGGTTTTATTTCAATTATTGAATTCTCTGTCAACATGAAAAGTAAAAGTTTTGTAAAGGCCATTCAGTTTTTTAATGTTAAGCAGCACCAACTATTTGCATATAACAGTACAATCAGCTTTGTGCTCCACAGACACAAATACAGGGTGCTCTTTAAAAAAATGTTGCTAACCTTCCATTAAGGATCTGCGCTAATTGGGGTTTAGATTGAAGTGAAGTCAGTAGTTCATGCATAGCACCTATGGACTCAGAAATATTACCCACAGAGCTATGCCTAGGCATTTCCCATAGTTCTGCAGCTGGAAAAAATGAAGGTAAACCCAAGATAACTGACATTCTCTTTAGATATATAGGACAGTATTTGCTTACTTGGACACTACTGAAACTCAGACCAAAACAATGTAACTGTTTTCTACTGAATGCTTTAAAAGTCTATGCCTAAATATAACCATGATCTATAAGAATATGTAATGATAACAGTACCACTGTGAGTCCTTTATTTGGGTAGAAGCACTTCAACCTAATGTCTCTTTCCCCCTACACCTCTCTCTCTCTCTCTCTTTCTAGATGCAGCAATTGTTCCACGAAAACTATGAACACAACCGCAAGGGTTACATTCAAGATCTTCACAACAGCAAGATCCACACAGCCATAACACTTCATCCGAACAAAAGACCTGCCTATCAATATAGGCTGCACAATTACATACTGAGTCGCAAAATTTCCGAACTGCGCCATCGGACCATCCAGCTCCATCGAGAAAGTGTCCTGATGAGTAAGCTCAGTAACACTGAAGTAAATAAGGAAGATCAGCAGCTGGGAGTTGTGCCATCTTTCAATAATTTCCAGCCTCGTGAAAGGGATGAAGTCATTGAGTGGGAGTTCCTGACAGGAAAGTTTCTTTACTCAATGGTGGAGAACCAGCCACCCCGGCAGAGCCTGAGCAGCGTCCTGCGGGCTGCACTGGATGATACTGTGATGCAGGTCATGGAAATGATAAATGAGAACTCCAGATCTAGAGGTAGGCTCATTGATTTCAAGGAAATACAGTATGGGTACCGCAGGGTAGATCCTCTGCATGGAGTAGAGTACATCCTGGATTTACTCCTTTTGTATAAAAGGCATAAAGGAAGGAAAGTTACAGTTCCAGTGAGACGTCATGCTTACCTTCAGCAATTGTTTAGCAAACCTTTCTTCAAAGAAGCAGAGGAGCTGGATGTAAAAAGCTTGCTGGACGATACCAACAGTGACACTCAATCTTTCTCTTTCCTTTCAAATTCTTTAAAGATTTTTTCCTCGTCATTCCAAGGCACCAAAGACATCAGGGGACACAGTGACAAGAAAATACATATTCTTGTCCCTATCACGGGAAGATTTGATACTTTCTCAAGATTTATGGATAATTTTGAGAAGACTTGTCTCATTCCCAAACAGAATGTAAAGCTGGCAATAATTCTCTTCAGTTCTGATTCAGGCCAAGACTCTAGCAAACACATAGAGCTAATGAAAGAATACAGCATTAAGTATCCCAAGGCAGATATGACCCTGATTCCAATGTCAGGAAAGTTTTCTAGAGGTTTAGCTCTTGAGATGGCCTCGTCTCATTTTGACAATGACACTTTGCTGCTGTTCTGTGATGTTGATCTGGTATTCACATCAGACTTTCTCCAGCGATGCAGAGATAACACTATTCAGGGAGAACAGGTTTACTACCCTATCATCTTCAGCCAATACGATCCAAAAGTAATATATGGAGGCAACCCTCCAGCTGACAGTAGTTTTGTTTTCACAAAAAGAACTGGATTTTGGAGGGAGTATGGATTTGGAATTACCTGTATTTACAAAAGTGATCTACTTACTGCTGGTGGATTTGATACCTCGATTCAAGGCTGGGGACTTGAGGATGTAGATCTCTTTACTAAAGTGATAACATCTGGCTTGAAGGCTTTCAGAAGTCAGGAAGTAGGAGTTGTCCATATTTTTCATCCTGTTCAGTGTGACCCCAATTTAGATCCAAAACAATATAAAATGTGCTTAGGGTCTAAAGCAAGTACATTTGCCTCTACCATGCAGCTCGCTGGACTCTGGCTACAGAAACATTTGGGTGTCAGGTACAATTGGACTCTCTCCTGACAACTCAGCCTATTTGGCCTTTTTAGGGGAGTTTACCTCATTGCTGTTATTTGATTTTGCTGTTGTAGTTTTAAACTCCCTCCTTATAGTCTTCCAAAGACTGTTGACCTCAAACGGGCTGACTCTGCTGTTCACTGATGTTTCTTATACCTACTGAAATGGTGAGGTGAATTCCTTTATATTTCCTGTATTTGAAATTCAGTCTTGTCATGGAAATCATACAAGCCCATGGAGCATATTCATCACAAGAGACTGTATTAGAAGAATGTTGTCTTTCAGCTTTTGGATTCGGTATCATCTTTGTTGCATTTCTCAGATTTGATGTGATACAAATACTTACTGGTGAAAGTACCACAAAAGTGCTTTATGCTTCTTCTGGGGATGGAACTCTCTAAGATAAACTTGAGTTTTATAATTTATATGAGGACTTATATGTATAAACGCTACTTTTCTTCATCTTTAGAATTTTTAAAGTAAATGAATAACTATAACTATACCTTTATTTTTGAAAAAAAAGAGTAAAGCTGAGGAGCTACTTGCAAATACAACTGGTACTGGCTACCAAGGTCCTTAAATGTCTTATTATTAAAACAAACTCCTCACTGTTATTCAGTCAAAGTATAAATGAACTTTATTTTCACAACAAACAGGATTCAATCAAATCCTTATGTACACTTTGAAGATTATTTGAGCCAACATCCTTCATTTACAGGCAAGAAGAAACAGTGACTCAACATGGTCATTTATGATAAAGTGCAAGTATACAGTGTTCTTACTTTGAAACACATAGTATAAGTTGCTCTTTCTCTTTTTACAATGAGTCTGTAATACTTAATTTTCTTTTACATTCCTTTCATAAGGCTGCACTTCAGTGTTAGAAGATAAAGCTCTATTTTTTTGTTTTACATTTTTCATGAATATTGGTACTCAGTAGCAATTTGTTGTTAAAATTAAGGTAACTGTAGAATAGTTATTTAAGTTTCAAGATTTACTATTGCTGGTCAAAGTTCCTTGCCAATATATTTATATTAGTGGAGGTTATAAGACTGTGTTCAGATTTATCTCTCCAAACAGCCTGAAGCTGCCATATTGTGGATTCATGAAGTAAAGTATTTAAAGTAATACCAACAGAATAAATAATAAAACTAATTTCTGTATTTTAAAGAAATGTTTATATAGGGATATATATGTGTGTGTGTGTGCCTGTGTGTATATCCCTATATATAGATATTTAGAGAGAGTAATTTCAAAGTATGTTCCACTTTTTAGTTCAGGCAGTGATTTGTTACAATTGTTATTTTTCCCAAATGCTTGGAACATTTCATGTTATGCTGTGGTAAGAGCTTAGAGACATTCAGGAAACCATCAGAATTCAGCTAAACTAAGTTATTACAGTGGGTACATCTAATAACCTCAGTACCCTTGATTTCAAACTATATTTCAAACCAGGCTGGGCAAGAAAAAGTCGTAAGTTTTTTAGCTCTAACTGACTGCTTCTGTGTTTCCTTAAAAAAAAAAAAAAAAAAAAAAAGCCAACCAAAAAAACCCCAAAACACCCCAAAACAATTAAGTGATTGGAATTCACTGGCACATCTGTTTGTGGGAAAATACTGTCTGTGGAAAAATATCCAGATAATTTCCTGAGGCTTGAAGAGGGTATGTAGGTCAGTTAATGTCTCTTATCTGTGTTCTCTGTTCTGGACTTACCATGCAAATGAAAAGGCAACCCTGACAAGGATTGAGTAAATTCAGAATTAAAAGACTGGCCATAGGTTATTGTGTGCTCTAAAAAAGTCCATTCCCTTGCCCTGGAAAAAGTAATAATTGTTGTAGATGAGAACAGAGAGTGTAATTCATGTTTGTACCAGCTCTCCTCAAGTAGAACTCTTGGCTTGTTATTTTCCTGGAGGCTCTTGCCTTCCTAGCCTAGCATTGTTAGCTCAAAGGTATGACCAAAGAAAAATTCCCTTTCAATTATAATAAAATTCTTGGAAATTGCTGTTCAAATTGCATGCAAAAGTCACATTTTTTTTCTTAAAAAAGCCAAGAACAAGGAACCTGATATATTTAATAAAATCTCAATTAACCAATGCAACTCAGATTGTAAATATCAACAACTGATTGCCTGTTGATAAATATTTGTGATGACTTCATAAACAAGAAAAAACCTAATGACCTAGAAAGACATATAAGGAAATCATTGTCTGCTGGGATGTAGTCCAGTGCTGATTTCAATTACATAATTTGTGGCCATAAAGTATTTGCTCAGCTCAAAGTAAAATAGTAGTTTAGAACAAGCAATGAAACCAATCATTCAGTGGGGATAAAGATGTATACAGAGGGCTTGCAGGATCAGGTCCTACATGATATAAGCAAAATGCTAGTATTTACCAGTACAAATATTTATTTAGTGTCTTGACTGATTCATTTGTTTATATGATGAATTACTTTGTTAAAAATGTTTATTATGAAATATTGCATTTTCTTTTGAAATAACTATCCTGAGATAACTTGAGAACTTGTGTTAGTTTGTCTAAGGAATAATATGCCTTCTAAGGAGATCATATTAAAAGAAAAAAAAAAAGCACAAAAGTGTAGAGTAATGTTATGTATGTACAGATTAAGACGGGAATATCTGTGTTAATCAACTGTTTGCTTTTGTCTAATCTGAATCATAATCTTCATTGTAAAATGAAATTTCAATGTGTATAATGTCCCTTTGTAAATGCGTGACAAGTGAATTCACAGTAGAACATAACAATCAATTTTGCCCCAAACCTCCCTCCCCTGGGAACAGTTTTCCTGCCGTAATTGTTGGGAAGTGGGTTGTGAACATCTCGCACTTTGGCTTTTCAGACACAGCCATTCTAAAAAAAAAATCTCAGCATTCACTACTCAGAAATGCTAGAAATCCCCAAACTACTGCATCATGGCATGTTTTCCCAGTCACAGTGCTTAACAGAGCATTTGCATCTCCTGGATGAAGGAAAAACAACATGTTGGGCTCTCTGAGAGTTGATTGTACTCTGCATCAGGGTACTGGTTTTCAAGCTGAAAAAAGGCAGAAGGCCAGGGGGAGATGTGAAGCTCAGCCGTGGGAGTTGGCACCTTGTGCCCGAGTTACCCCTGTGCTGCCACCTGTGCTGCCCACAGCCTATCTTGGAACTATGAGTTGGCAGCTCAAACAAGCACAGAAGAGCTGTGCTTGCTGCCATCAGCTGCTCTTGAGAATCAAAAGGGCCATTTTAATCAGGAAAGAATGAAAGGAGGGTCCCAAACTGGGGATTCATTGAGTGGAGTTGTCTTGTGCAGATCATGTTTCTCACTGTCCTCAGGGGAAAAGACACTGGTCCCACATGGCTTCCCTCTGTTTGCACTCTAAGGGCTTTGAAGGATGGGGCAAAACTTCATGGGGCTCATGGACCTGCATCATGTACTTGGATCCTGCCATATCATGGGACATGTAGGGGGGAAAGGTGCCACATGGTCTTCCTAAAGAGCAGTACAGAGAGAGAGGCACCTTCTGCACTCAGTTCTTGCTGTGCACGAATGCCAGCTGTGCACAAAACTGCCTTCTGGAGGCTTTGCTCTCTGTGTGCTTGATAGTACTTCAAGATTCTTCCAAAAAATTACAGTGCTGATAAAATGACTCCTAGGAGTGTACTGCTCATCCTCAGTAACTGGAGAGTTGCAAGCAGCATGAGTTAAAACCACTTTTTTTAATCAGAGGGAAATAAACAATTTAAACTTCTTTTGATGTCTTAAATAGTCACTACAATTACTTAAGATGCAGTTTGCTACATCAAACATTTTGCTCCAAGGAATGATGCCAGCTTTAAGGCACAAAAAAAAACCCCACATGTGTAGTCTATATCTTATTTTCTTGCAACTTGAAATCAGTTAAAATTTATGGGGATAAAACAGGGATTAGAAATTGGTGAGTCACTGACAGGGGAAAGGTTTATCTTTCTGCTGTATTTTTAAAAGCTAATCAAATCAGGAGAAAAAAAATACTGTGTTAGATACACACAAAACTTAGCTCTGATGTTAAGTAGCGGTGATAGTTGTGGTCCTAAAATGCAGCAAAATGAGATGTTTCACTAAGTCTACCTATTTACAAGAACTGATTATCACTGAAGGTTTTTGTCTGTTGTACATCTGTAAGTAACATGTAATCCATTTTTAATTAATTCATTTCTAAGAATAATTTAAATTTTCTTCCATCAGCATTTATTCATTTGATTAATAAGATGACTTGTCATGACTCACTCTCAATTTCCTATTCTACTTTTTCGTGCGTCTTCCCATTTGCAGTATGTCTTACTACAGAATTTAAACTTTTTGAGCTAATATATTACATTTCTGTTACAGTTTTATGATTTCACTTCCATGCAAAACTTCTGAACTAGAAGATTTTAGTAAACGAGTTTCCAAGACTACTTCAAATTGTTTCCATTTGCCTGTCACTGTAAATTAAAAGTGTTCTGAATATTTTTACTTCATTTTTTTCCTCTGGTCTCCTTCATACCAGAATCACACTAAAGCAAGGATATACAAAAACTTTGTAAGGCTTACATCTAGGAAAATTAAAGAACCAGGGGATTTCTGAAATCCCTTTTTCCCCCCCTTTTTTTAACTTTTTTTTGGTTTTTTGTTTTGTTTTGTTTTGTTTTCAAGTCTCTTATCTCAAATTTCAAAACCTTACTTAACAGTTCTGTAATTTTAATTAAAGAAATAATGGTTATCAAGACGTAAGGCAGCGCATATATTAGCTCCATACTACAAACTGTCATTTTACATCCTTATTTTCTAGTCACTTTATTATTCAACAGATATTTTCTATTTATAAGGATGTTGAAGATAAATGAAAAGCATCCTTGCTGGTTCAGTATTTACCTAGTCTTAGAGGAGAGCTTAACTATGTAGGCAGAGTTCCAAAGATGTTATATACTGCAAGCTGCTGATTCAATAAAGATATTCCTAAAAGACATGTATTCTTGCTAACATTGATGCCAAACACTTCTATTTAGAGCAGGTAAATTACCTTCAGGTGATTTCTGTAAAAAAAGAAAAAAAAAACTTAAAAAATTTAAAAATGCTTGTGCTTGAGATTATTAACATTGTTACTACTGGTTATTTGGGAAGCCTTTATGACTTGCTCTCATATTTGATTAGGGTTATATGGAGCAATAAATTATGCTTGTTTTTCACATTTGTCCATAAACTGTTGGCTAAAGGAAAGAAAAGCTAACTAACTGCTTTGAAGATGGTGGTCGAATTGTGAGTGACCAGAGGGAGAACTGCTTGGTGTAGTTCAACTTTGAAACCAAGACTGAGACCTACTACCAGGAAAGGACAATTTCAGCGTAAGGAGTAGCAGCCTGAGTTTGTGCAAGGTATCATGGTATCTGGGGATCCACCTTAATGCTTAGTGAGTGATTGCCAGGAGCAGGCACTGTGCAGTCTGAATACAAGGCTACCAGCACTTGCAGAAGTGAGGAATGCAGTAAAATATGTTTCACAGGTGACAGGATAGATAGTAAGGATGTAGATCCAGATACCTGTGTATCTTTTCTTATTTTAAGAGTGTAGAAGATAAAATATATTTAAAAAAGAAGAACTCTGCTTTACTTTCTTCCTGAAAGCTTTTCCCCTTGTACATTCCACTTGTACATGCTGATCAGCAAGCCCATGTTTTTGGAAGTGATAGCTGAGCTGGCAATTTTTAGTCCCTCCTCTTCTCTTTTTAGATATGAAGCACTTTATTATTATTTAATTAAGTTGGATATTTGACAGCTTTGTGTCATAGATGCTTTAGTGCTTTGTGACTAAAATACTTCAGTTTCCCATTGTATCTTCATATATTGGACTGTTACATGGCACATCACTGCTTTAAATTATGAGGTTCCTTTAAACAAAGGCTTCTGGACAGTAGTTTTCACCAGATGTAACCTTGCAACCACAGCTGTATGGATGAAACAAAGTACATTCAGGTATGGTAATTTATTTTTTGCATTCATACAATGGTTTTGTTTGGTAGAAAATTCAAAATGAATATGAGTTAAAATTGAATATTTTTTGGTGACAAAGTTGAGCAAATCTGTTTAACTGGGACCAAGCCATTGCCCCCAGCATGTGCTGTTACTGGAAGACCTCCAGAAACTACCAAAAAGGTGTTTTTAACCAAAAAGGTTACAGGGAGATGTCTCTAGTAAAACTGAATGGGAAACACTGTTTTGCACTTCAGAACAGCTGGTAACAGAAGATCTAACTTTTCTGTAAAAATATATCAGTCATAACTTCTGCCATAGTCAACTGATGTTTAAGGGACAGACACAAGGGCGCTCATGTGTGAAGGAGACCAGATAGATCAAGATTTAACATGGAATACCCTTAGAAGAGAGTCCATTCTGAAAGAAATATGGATGTGAACGAAGGACCATGCAAGAAACCGAAAAGAAGATTCTCTTCTTTTTCCTTTATCCTTGACATGGTGCTCTGCTCATCAGGGAGCTACCAGGTCTTCCTGGATTGAGCTTGGCACCAGGCAAAAGAAGCACTAAAAATAAAGCATAAATGCTGTGTATATGACAGGACCAGATACTGGTGGGTGATGGGAAAGAAAGTGCGTGGGAAAACATATAAGGAGCCAAGAAAATAAATTTTTTTTGAATGTGAAGTAGAAAGATAGTGTGTGTGTGTGTATGTGTGTGTGTGTATGTGTGTGTAAGCTATTCTACTAGCTCTGATACGTAGAAGAAAAAGTGATTAATTAAAGGACATAGATTTGAAAGGAAGAAGAAGACACAGTACAGGAAACAGAGTACACATCTAAATTTAATTACAGTAGCCATAAAAGTTTATGTGAAAAAATAGCACAAGAAATATCAGGAAAGAAACTGGAGGAAGACAGGGAGAATTGAAAAATATTTAATGAAAAGCAACCAAAGGACTAGCACAGATGTAATTTATGCCCTGGATACAGAACACGTCATAGCGCCATTCAAGAAAATGGAAACATCTTATGGAAAGCATTTCTGTAGCACTGCATCCCACTGCTTTACCTGGATGCAACTGAGGGACCAAATGCCAAGGTAACACTAAAATATTCTTTCTTTTTCTTGCTTTTTTATTGGAGCCCGAAATACCTATATTTGTTTTCCTCTTGGTTTGCCCCCCCCCCCCCCCCATGGTAAATATCTAGTCAGATACTGTGTTACTGGTATTTTGTGGTTTTGAACTCAGTAAAACATAAGGGAGATATCTTTTAATATGCAAAATGGCAGTACCAATGCCATCATACATCTGAATTTCTCTTTTTGTCATTAAAATGTCCTCCAACTACAAAAAGTTGTCAGTCAGCAGGAACTTCTGCAGTCTTGCCCCACCTTTCATTCCCTCACATTTTCAGTGTCTAGCTTCTGCTGTACTTAGGTACTGATGACAAATTTAGACTAAGGAAAAAGTAAAGGAAATTAAGGAAATCGATATCCTTTTAATAGCATCATACCAATGAATTTAATTTTTCACACAAACTTTGTTACAGTATTGTGTATTTAAACCAAAATCATATATCTCAGATAAAATTATCTTTCAGAGTTTTTCTAGTTCATTCATACAAATATGAAGTTAGATACTGTAATGATGTCACTGGTGTGTAAAATTGCTGAACTACAGCGTTTTGTTGCATTAGTTCCCAGCTCTGTTGTAAGCCTGTCACTTTCTTTAAATCCTGAATTTTATTACTGCTTCCCTCAGTCCCTTCTTGTGACATCTTAAGTTCATTGCCAGGAACAGAAACACAAAACTTTTCCAGATTTAAAATGCATCCTCAAAATCAGGTCTGAAGTATATGTGAGTCACATGATTCAGCAGATATTAAAGGGCTCAGTGACATAAGAAGGCAAAAACCTCAGAAACTGAGATAGAAAACATGGAAGAAGCGGACCTTGAATGTTCTCAGGGATGGGTCATCTCCCACCTCCCTGGGCAATCTGTTTCAGTAATTTACCAATTGCATTGAAACAAAACCTTCTTCCTTATGTCTAATGGAAGTCAATTCTCTTATAGTTTAAAACCATTATCCTTCATCCTGTCACAATAGAAATGGCAAAAAGGGTTGTCCCCACCTCTCTTTTAGGCCCCATTGTGGTACCAAAATGCTTCTGTAAGGTCTCCATGGGGCCTTCTCCTGCAGGATGAACAACCCCATCTCTCTCAGGCTGTCTTTCACAGAGGAGGAGCTCCAGCCCTTTGAACATGTCTGGACCTACTCCCACTCCAGCAGTTCCATGTCCTCCCTGTGCAGGGACCCCAAGGCTGGATGCAGGGTTCCAGGTGGGCTCTCACCCGCACTCAATACAGTGCTACTAGCACTTGAAGCAGAGCAGAGGGGCAGAATCCCCTCCCTCCCCTGCTGCCCACGATGCTTTGGATGCAGCCCAGGACACGTTTGGCTTTCTGGGCTGGGAGTGCCCATGGCTGGCTGGGTCATGTCCAGCCTCTCACCCATGAGCATCTCCAAGGCCTTCCAAGGTCTGTTCTCAATCTCCCAGCCTGTGCTGACAGCAGGGGTGACCCCAGTCCAGGACCTCGTACTTGGTCTTGTTAAACTGCATGAAAATGAAGCTTCGTTGTTACTCTTCAAGGTTTGTGTTGGTTTTTAACCCCTGCTTTTTCATTTCTTCTATTTAATGACTGATGTCATAGATGTGTTAAAAAACCATTTACAACTAGATGTATAGCTGTGAAATTTTGTGCTGCCCTCTGTGAATTATTGCTTGGCCATATTGATTAGTTTGTTTCATGCTTACGAAATCACTTATGTGCAGAATGGCTGGCATATCAAACTGCCCCTCTGCAGGATCGTGATTCCAAACTTTGGTGGAAAAGCTAACGCAGCCCAGGCTGGTGCAGTCTGCAGGGGCTCATCCCAAGAAATCACACAGATATTTGCGCTGGATTTGATAAGCAATACTTCTGTGATTTTTGTCTTCTATTGTGTTTGTGTTTCACCCTCCAAAAGAATTAAATACTTATTCAGGATCTTGGGAGACCAGGTTTGCAGAGATAATGCTTTTATCTGTAGTATGATAGCATCCAATCTCTTGCAAGTTATGAAAACCCTAATAATAGGAATATGAACATAAGCAAAAATTCTGTCATAACAACTTCCAATGGTTTCAATTTACAAAAAAATACTTCAGTAAGTACGAATATTAGAAATGAAAAAGGAAATGGCTGCACAACCATATATACAGAGGCTTACCCCTACCACTGTGTAGATCTCACACTTTAAATGTCAAATGTCTTTTTGACAGGCTTAAGAGTGCAATTAATTTGGTCATATAAAATGTTTGCATGCTTTTGACTTCTGCCTGCAATAAAAGGGAGAAAAACCATACCAGTAGGAGGAATTTATCTTCATCAATCAGTTAAAATAAACCCCAACAAAATACAACAACAAAACCACAAACAAAAAACCCCAAAGGGAAAAAAAAACCTAGAAATACACTTGTGTTTTGGGGATCTTCTTTAGTTAGGATCACTCTGCTTTAAAACTTACTTGTTCTGAAGCAGTGAAATGGAAACTATCCTCAGAGCAATATTAGTGTTTGTAACTCTGTTCAGCATTTTGTTTTTGTCCATTGGGAATTAGTGAAATGTATCACCCCTTGTCCACCTCCACAGCTACGGCTATTCCTGCAGGCCACTCATGCTGGCAAGCAAGCACAGGTATCTGATAAACTACTCAGGCAGCAGAGAACAGTCCAGGAAACTGGACTGAAGCCACAGCTCACTCCAAATAAAATGCAGTGAAATCTGGTTTTTTCTCCTTTTCCTCCACACATGCTTGTTCTTCATGTGTCCTACACAAGGCTAAGAGCTGAATGCAATAATCCTTGTGGCTCCCTTCCAGATCAGCATATTCTGTGATTCTGTGCTGGACATTTAGCTTTTTTTAACTCATATCAAAGCCATATTTGAAATATATTAACAACTGGGATCCATGATGTGTATCCAATGGGTGGGTTATTTTTGCCCTGCATTAACTTCATTTGCAACTGCTGTAGTCATTGCCTTCAATTCAGTAGGATGAAGGAATGAAAAGGGAGTCTGTGTTTATCAAAGACCACAGAATAAAACTGTAGCAATTAAGAACCACTCATTAAATAACCAAGTGTAAAACTAATGACAGGCTAATGCAGAAATGCATATTGAAAGCATTTCCATAATTTGAGATGAACTGACAACTGTGACCAAGTGAAAAAGGGAAGGCAAAGCCTGTTAAGGAGCACAGATCCCTGCTCTGTTGAAAGCCCCAACTTTGTTCTACCTCCCACACATCTTCCATGTGCTGTGAAGTGAAGAGACTGCACCCATAAGGTGGTATAGCACAGCACCATTGTTTTGTAGTTCTGAGCCTGTAAGCAATCACGAATTGATGGATTTCCATTATGGAAAGTGATGGATACAGTGTCTTTCTTTCATCCCATGAGCCAGTAGGTTTCCCCTAGATTTCTCACTGCATTTTCAGGGGCTTCTGAAGCCAGTAAAATGTGGTTGCTTTGATTGCTGTTATTTTCAACAGAACGAATAAAACAAAAATTCACTCAGCACTTTAGCACTGTATTTAGCTGTTCATTGAGCAGTACCTGACTACATAAAAATGAGAAAAGTTTTCTTGTAACTCATTTATTTTCTCTGTCTCTGTTGAGAGATGTGGATACTTTGACCCTATTAAAGAGATATTCAGTTATGAGAGGATTATGTCTCAAAGCTAAACCTATAGTTTTGAGACTTGAATCAGGTATCCAGACCAGGTAAACCAGAGCTAATTTCTGTTGAAGTCAGTGGTCTTCTATATTTATTTTACATTTGATATCTCATACAGCTTACACTCTGATACTTTGGTACATCTCTAGACTTTTGGAAGACATTCAAGCCCTCTCCCAGAACTCAGTGCAAACAAGATTTATGAATGCAGTCATTCTCCTTCCACTCTCACCTACCAGTGACTGGGTCAGTCTTAGAGGGTTCCTTGTGGTGACCAGCTCAGGCTGTTACATGTGTGAGAAAAAACAAACACTGCAGGGCTGCCCTTTCCACTGAGCTGGAAGCATTATTGGTATCCTCTGCTCTACCCTGCCTGACTTGATGCTGTACAGCCTTCATTTCCACATTAATTTAAAGCAATGAAAGGCTATTCAAAATGTGTAGAAATGAAAATCTGTAAGCTTCTCTAATTTGAATTTAATTTTTTTTTAAAGATTTTCTTTTAAAATTCTCTCTTACATACTAGAATAACTCAGGATTTTAGCTGACACCATGCTAGATTCAACTAGAGTCTTGATAACCAGGTGGGAATATCAGTGTACATTCTTTGGTTTCATTATTAATTTTTATTTCCCCCTTCCTGAGATAAATCTGTCTTAAAATCTATTTTTCATTTCTAAGCCAACAAAGAACATTTTCTGTGCCTCTCAAGTGCATCATTGACATTCCTTTGATTGTTTCAGTGGGTGATATTTTACAAGCTTTTACTTCTCCACATAGATCACTGCTAGTTGGTACTTTGGAAATAAAGCATTTTAATAATTGCTGAGATAAGCAGGTGTTGAAGGCAATTTCTATCTACTTTCCAAACCACATTGTTCAGTTCTTCTTATAAAACTTATCTGTGCATAATTTTCACTTCATATTTACAATCTTTCACAGAGTTCAGATGACAATCAGGGTTTTTCTGTGGATTCCTATTTGGATTTAAAGTTTTCTATGGAAAAAATGTACATAAGTTTCAGTATTTTCTCTATAAATTAGATGTAGCAAGTGATGTTGAGTTTTTTCCAGTTGGAGAAAAGGACAAATGTAAACAAAAGTGTTTAATTTTAACATCAGGATTTCCAGAGATGCTATAGTA